ATGTATGTGTTTCCTTAGAAATGTTTCATTGGTCATAGATATCATGTTGTAAATATATTGAGTAAAAAAGCATATCACTGTGTTTTCTGATATAATATGCTATATGTTACAGAGTTTATCTTACGATTTTTCATATATTTGATTTTGTGCAACTCAATTTTTTACACTCCCTGTAACGACCCTCAAGTAAGGGTTAACAGTATGACAAATAAATAAAATCTCTTTATGGTGTGGGTCTGTTCATCTACCGTCGTTGTCGTACGTAGCCACCGGGATGCGAGATGGAAGTAGTTGGAGGGTTCACTAGATGGACGCACGGACGGACGCATGGACATACTGAATAGAAGACGGACGAACAGATGGACGTACGGACGGACGGACATAAGGGCGGACGCATGGATGGACGCACAGAGGGTGGTGCGGACGGACGGAGAAAGCAAGAACGAACGGACGGGCTGATGGACACTTCGCCCCACTCACCATCATTCACTCCGTGAATATGCTGTGATATTTTTAAACCTCCTTAGAGACGTCAGTGGGCAGACAAGCTCCAAGAAAACATGGCACCTACTCGGACATTTGCTCGATCCCTGTGCATCGAAGTAGTCTGCACAAGAACAGCTGCACCAGATTGTTACCGTGGCAGGGAACCCGAGCTGCTCGAAAAGTTGGCTTGTTGTTACGTGAACCTCGTCCAGTCGAAGGCGCCGACGAAGAACTTTCCTCCGCACAGGGGCAAATTGAACCCCCGACTCGTCGAAGAAATTGCGGAGGTGTAAATCTACGCCGTCTTGCTCAAACTCCGCACAACGTCGGCGCCTGTTCTTGACGGCGTAAGCAACAAGTCCCTCCGAAATCTAAACCCAAATCGGGAGCTGCACTCACGCAGTACGTTAACCAGTGCTGGAAATCGGACCACATATCGGAAGAGCGGAAACGCACAAGGTTCGTATTTATTCCAGAACCAAGCAAATGAAGAGAAAGAGACAGATAGAGAAACATTTTAATAAGTATCTTTATAAGCAAAGCATGTGGAAGGGAACCATAGTCCGGGTTCCCTATGATGATCTCAGGGACCAACTAGGCCCGTCAAACCAGTGCCTGGTGGACCTCGGGAGGTCCGCAAATGATGGCATCATCCCACAGCTCTTCGGTGCGGAAAGGGCACAGGATAGTTGGAAGGGCAGTGAATACTTTTGCGGTGCACTCCACCATGACATGAAATACTGTTGAGGGGTTGCCAAAGCCCGGGCAAGAGTCTGCCCAGCGGTCAGGCTGGAATTTATGCATGGAGAAGAGGCTAGGGGACGTGTGCGTTTGGAGTTGGGGAAGTGCCACCCATTCCTCTCACGAGGGCGACGGTGATTGCTGGTGCATGGTGCGTCTAGTTTCAAGAAGATGGACATCACCAACCTCCGCACAGTATCGCTCCCATCCTGCATTGACAAGCTAACAGAAATCGTCGTCCTTGTCCGATGACAGACCTACGCTGAAGAAAACGACCTTCTTTCTCTCTTTCGCTCTGCTTCCGTGCCCACCTATCGACGCAAGACGCGCTAGTGCAGGTAAACCCATACCTCCTTCGAACCGCACCGAAAGCCGAAACTCGCACTGTTCTCGGTCTAGATCTTCACGAGGCATTCGAATCGGTCCCGAAGGAGCCATGGCCTCAAATTTTGCCGCCACTGACCCATGTGAACGAACCTACAACTACGTGACTTCCTTTCCAACTGTATCATTGAATTATCGTTAGCCGGTGGCTCCACTTCTAATCACCTCACACTTGGACACAGAGGCATCCCTTAAGAAGCAGTTTTGTCTCGATTTTTATTTACCCTTGCTATGCGCACGTTGCCTTCTTCACTCTATGGGATCCCGGCTCTTCTCCATACCATCTACACCGACGACGTCACGCTGCGGACGACTATGGGTTTAAATGGCCGTATAGAGGAGATCCTCCAACGTGCGGCCGACGCTGTCGTAAGCTCTTGCTGCTCGCCCTGCCAACCGCCGTCGGAACAAGTACCCTCCCAAACTGGCCATCCGTGTTTACGTTAGCGGTATAGCCGTACCGCAAGTTTATCACATGCGCATTTTAGGCCTATTCATTCAGTCGAGTCAACGAAACATCATCGCGCTGGGAGTCCTCGTCATTGCCTTCACTCAAACAACCTGCCTCATTGCTCACGCCTCCGCTCGAAAGGAAGGCATGAAAGAAAAAGACCGACTACAGCTTATCCATGCGTTCGTCCTATCTCGTCTCACGTACGTGTTACCAAACCTGCGCCTACTGAGATGCGAGCAGAACAAAGTGGCCCAACTTGTTCGCAAAGTGTGCAAGACGGGTCTTGCCCTCATTGCTACGACCACTACGTCGCATATCCTCAACCTCGGCATCCATAACACGGTCGACAAACTCATCGATGCCCACTGCATAGCACAAAACTAGGGAGTTCGCGGTATCAATACCGGCTGCTGGGTAGTTGCTTGCATAGGACTCACCACCTCGCCTTCAGGCGCAGACCAGGCCTCTATACCTCCAGTCTTACGTCGACGTTTTAAGTCGACGTAAGAGCGACTTTTATAAGCGACACTTTAAAAGCGACCTTGAATCAGCCGTCCGCGGTGCGCCTCCTCCTCTCCCCTATCAAAGGCACAAGGAGCGGAGAGGAGCGTCTCTAGAAACAGCGCAGCGACGTCACACACCACGTGATTGCGCACGCTCCGCCTTCCGCTCCGTGGCTGCGCGCACCCGCGCCGACTATTGCACCGCTCTCTGTGCCGTGACATCACGGTGCGCTGTGCAGCTGGCGCCTCCGCGCCGTGGCTGTGCGCACCGTTCCACCTTCTCGCACCCC